CAGAAACCTGCTATCAGGGCCATATGTAACACGACGTTACATTTTTGATCAGGGCGCTGTCAGGCTGCCTTAACAAGACCTTATCAGGCAACAGGACAAAACCTAACGCGCCCTTCTTAGGGCCGTATTTGATTTTCTACTCGGGATGTTTGTGTCAAAGCCCCTCCTATGTCAGGATCTGAATTTTATAATTATAAAGGATTGTTTAGTATTGTGCTCTTAGGTGCTTGTGATGCAGAGTATAAGTTTACATGGTTAGATATTGGACAATATGGTACGTATTCAACAGTATCTAATAATCTGAATATGTAATTGTATTGCACACGAATGTACAGACATCATGTCATGTTTCTATTTGCAGGCTCACTGAGTGATGGTAGTGTCTGGAGCAATACAGACTTAATGCAGGCTTTGGAAGAAGGAACAATAAATTTGCCGCCACCTACTCCACTGCCTGGTACAAATGTACCATTCCCTTATGTTTTTGTGGCAGATGAAGCGTTTCCATTATCAACATATATGATGAGGCCATTTTCTAAGAAAAATGTAGAAATGAGTGATGATGAACGCATCTTCAATTACCGAGTATCTAAAGCTAGGAAAGTTATTGAAAATATATTTGGTATTATGGGAGCAAAGTGGCAAATTCTGAATTCATGCATAAGCTGTTCCCCAAAACATGCAAAACACATTATAAAAGCTCTAGTATGTTTACATAATTTCATGATAACTTGTGGACATGTTGAATATTGCCTTTCAGGATTTGCAGATAGTGAGCGTAATAATAGAAAAATTCAAGCAGGAGCATGGAGAGCAGAAAATAATCAGACAATTTTCCACCGCCTAGGTAGAGTAGGAGCAAATAGAAGCACTCGCATTGCATATGAAATGAGAAAGTACCTAATGCAATATTTTGTTTCCACAATTGGTCAAGAGCAGGCACTATGGCAATATGAAAGAGCACTGTAGTCATTTTATAAATCTACCAGATTAGTAATTTTAATACTACAACAATGCCCCAATAATATCAAATGTATGTATGAATGTCAGCGTTAACAGTGAAAATTATTTATATTGCTTTAAATGCAAAACAATATTAAAATTCAAGCAGGAACTGTTAAAAAATATTATTCTACACATTAACATCTTAACAGTTTTTTTACTGTATCCATTCAGATTTTTTTGATACAGTATACAATTTGGTTTAACTAAATAAATCAATGTCTTCCACGCAAGAATTTGCGCTTCCAATGCATTACTAGAAACATCTGTTGCATTATCTTGATCTATATTCATATTTTTACAAGTTTTGTAAATATTGAATTAAATGCAAAACAATATTAAAACATAATACTGAAAATATAATACAATAACTAAATTTGTTTTATAAATGCAATTACTTCGACATTATAAATGAATTAATATTGTAAAACCTCCTTTTTTGTTAATAAATATATAACTTATTCACATATTGCAGTTTATATTTTGCCGTAAAAAATTGAAAAATGTTAATAAATATCTATAATTATGTGTAATTATTTTGTATGTGATATCTGCAATAAATCTGTAATAAATTTGTAATAAATAAATTGTAAGACAGTAAATACATTTATTAGTAATTTATTGTTCTTATTTTTTTAACATAACTTGTATTACATTATAAACATAGTATCACATAATAAGTATAGCATCTTATATAAACATAGTATCACATAATAAACATAGTATCCTAAAGAATAGAATTGAACTTACATAACATTCATGAAAAAAAAATTTGTTTAATTTCTTTAAACTATATAACAATTATATAACATAATCAAATATATTTTTAAAAACATAATAAACTATACTTTTAAAAACTACAAAATATATTAAAAAATCAAAATCTCTGAGCACTAAGCAAACTTAAGCCTACATTTAGTGCAGCCTCTAGAAGAAAGAACAATGAATTTGCCGCCACCTACTCCACTTTCTGGTACAGATGTACCATTTTCTATAATAATGGATGATGGATAATGGAAACGCTTCATCTGCAACAAAAACATAAGAAAATGATTAAATACATAAGGATATTCTATCAAGTATCTAGAGCTAGAATTTAGACTATGAACGTAATTTTTGTAAAAGATTAATTTCTGAGACTATACATATTAAAGAACAGACGCTTGATTTAAACTTAATTAATGACACGAACTTACTTGACAATTCTTATTTTAATTTACTTGACTCAATAAAATCTTCTAAAATTTAAAATTTAACGGACCCGTTTTACTTTGATTTTACTGTTAGTTAGTAGGGAAACAGATATAAAAGTTGTCGCCTGTACTCTCTGTTCATTGTTTGATCTTGACTTCGGATATGTAAGTTTCAAATACGTTGTAACTTTAATATTGTGTTATTGTGCGTGACTATTTACTACACGACCTTTTCAGGAAGTCAAACATTATTATAGCCTACTGTTACCCCGTGGGGTCCTTAGGATGCCGCGAGGAGGGACGTCGAAAAGATATCTGATTTATTACTGTAGCACCACAGATTTTATTTTATATAATTACACGTTTCTTTACAACTCGTGTTTACACCTTGATTCACTTTAAATTCCTAACTTCTAAGTTCCCACAAGCGACGCTCTGTCGAGCAGAGCCTTCGGCCGCAACACGTTTCGGGATTATTCCAACGATGCACGGGTGACGCCGGCTTTTATACCTCAGCCAATCAATCGTGATTGGCGGAGGAAAAACCGGACGATATCCGGTGTCCGAAAAGTGCAATGCAGATCACTGCATCTTTTCGGCCGCGCGTGCGACCTTTGGCCAGCGCGTCCTCGGACGCGCTATCACATTTCGCGTAGCGATCGCTGACTGGATTCTCGCGTCGGATTCCAGTAGCCCCGATAACCTTATAACAAGCACTTTAAACTGATCGATAACACAAATATATAACTAAACATACAACTCAACATACTGTTTAATCTTACACTAGCATCTTATAACACTCTTCCCCCGTTGGAAAAAGAAAAACTGACAGGGGAAGTTTTTCGTTAACTTTTAACTAGATTAGTGTAGTTGTCATGTGTTCAATGTGGGGTCTCCGATTCGTGTACCCACGGTGGACTTGTGAAGGTTGAAGTTTGCTGTCCTTAAACTGTACTCGTCGCGTGTTCTGTGTTTCCTGCGAGATTTGTTTTTTGTTTCTTACTACAAAATACACTACAATTATTACAACTAGCAAGAGTAGTAATCTGCCGAGGCCTGTGGGGTACACAAAATACGGTTGTTTGTAGAACTCTCGGTCTAGGTTAGTGTTAATTTGTTGTGTTTGGTTGTGTATTTCTTGTAACTGTACTTTGCCGAACGTTATGTTTTCTAGTTTTAATTCGTCGGGTTTGTGTTGGTAATTTTGTAAATCGTTATTTTTGTGTGTGACTGTGATGTTAAAACGTGGTAGGTAAGTATTGACTTGTGTATGTTCTACGACTGTTTTTGTACTAACAATGATATCCTTTGTTGAAAACTCACATTGTTTGGACACTTCAACTTCATCGGTCCCCTTCAAGACTTCTGTCCTGTCGGGTCGCTTTTCGCACCTGAAAGACACCGTTTGTTCGTTCACCGTTGAATACAGCCATACGCGCATCTGACTTAACTCAATCCATATAGTGTGATTTGACGTTATAAACGTCGTTTTACAACTTACATAACCATTTATCTCATGTACATATGCCTGTATTTCGCACGTAGAACTTGGTTGTATCCTATGAAGTGTCATCACGTTGTCGCAGACGTACTGACTCTGAACAATTGTACAACCTGCCAACTGGTTGTTTGACAGTAACACATACGTTTGTCGATTGCTGTCCACTGCGATGAGTGTGTTCCAAACGTACCGCAAACGCGTCACCACGCACGTGCACCGGCAAGAGTATCACGTTATAAACATCATGTACTACGGAGCGTACCAACGGTACGTGAAGCACCACAAAAACATTCGACTCCTTGCAGTACACAGCAACGGGCGTGTTCCGTTTGACCACAGTACGATTCGACACCGATCGATTCGACACCAAATTATTGGACACAAAATTATT